GTCATACTGCTTAATAGACATTTTATCCCCCGTGGAATTCCCTTAACGAGTTATGTCTGCCCAGTAATTGAATACTTCACAAAACCTTTTTGTCCCTGACGCGCCAGACGTGATGGCGTTTGGTCCGGTTGACGAACACTATCAATTTTACACTTGATGCGTCTTGGTGTCCTTTCACTAGACATGATGGCTTTTCGTAAAGGTTAAAACGCACCGACGTGAACGAAACTTCTTCAGTGCTCAGAGCGCCAGTCGTAATGAGTATGCTCAGGTTGACGAACGCTCATAAGGCGTCACACGTTTTGGTGTTTGGTGCGAATACAAAATATTTTGCCTGTTTTGCTTCATAACCAGTCTGACAGTGGCCAAAGATGATGACAAAGTTTTCGTGCTTTTTAGAGCATTTAAAATGACAAACAAAGTGGGTTGATGACATAATAGTAATACATGTATTATCAACTTTTTCTTACAAAATGCACACGCACTCACAAGACTTTTAGCCGAATCAATTCTTAGAATGATGTTTGGATCGATCAAATTGTGAGTAATGGAATCTTAAAAATAAAAATAAAATCCTAGCTTCGAGTGACACTGAAGAACTGACGTCATAAAATCTCGGGCGCTATAACAAATTGAACTACACCCCCAACCCATCTATGTCGTATATGACAAGAATAATTGTCTCTGGTCATTGGTTTCTCTCCAATGGTCTACGTGGGGTGTGTTTAGCCCTCTTATCCAAACTATGATGAAGGTGGCATGTTATGGCCGTCAAGAATGAACGCTTCCCCCCTAAAAATGGCAGTACATTAATAAAAGGCAAATTAAGCACAATACAATCAAAGCTATCTGAAAATGTACTTTAAGAAACAATATAATGAACATGTATATTTTATGATTACTATTGTTAATAAATTGCTTAATGACGTGTTTCAATCCCGAGTATTATAGTTCATGATGATTTTTTTTAACAAGCTAATCAATATAGATATATTTGACAGAAAAGCTGGTAGAACTCTTATCAAGAATGAATGTTAGTAAGAGATCTTATAATTACTGATCGCAGACTAGGTTAGTTCACGTCCTCATCCAGCTTACTGATATTGTAAACGTTGTAGCTGCTAGCAGTCGTGGTAATTGATAGTAGGGTCGAAATCAATTGGATGGTTCAGTCCAAACTATCGTTCCGTTTTTGTTATCTTTAATTTTTACTAAGCCACTCGAGTTAAGGTCTGACTACTCCCTTCTTGTTTCTTCGTATGAATCACGGGGTTCATCATGTAAATGTTCCTTTTGCACGTAAATAAGGATCACAAATTTCCTTCTGATGTACATAGGGTTCACCAAGCAAATTTTCTTCTGATATACAAAGAGATCATCAAGCAAATGTCTTACTGGTGTACATAGTGATAACCAAGCAAATTTCTTTCCGATACACATGAATCGCCATGAAAATTTATGTATGATGTTCATAGGGATCATCAATCAAGTTTTCTTTTGGACGAAGATGGGGATCACCAATCATATTTCTTTCTGATGTACATAGGGATCATGAAGCAAGTTTCTCTGTGATGTACATTAGGATAACCAAGCAAATTTCTATCCGATGCACATAGGAATCATCAAGCAAATTTTCGTTCTTAATAATACGAAATGCCAATTAAACCATTTTATTCACCTGCATTCTTTTTCATTTTTAATTATCTATATTTTGATGAAAAAGGAGACTCTAATAATATTTTGCATTGAACAAATACCTGTGAGAATTGTCCCAAAAGTACGTATATTGATCGAAATAGAAGTATGTATTAAAACGTGTTAAACAGGTCTTTGTTTGCTGTAAAATTTGTAGATAATAGTGTATTTATAATCTCTTCCTCGTGAATGCCGTTATCATAATCCTCTTAAATATACCATGTAAATGGATAATAATAATTGATGCAGGCGGGCCTGGCGTGAAGGTGGTTTCCATTGTTTGAGTGGGGAACACTCAAGTACGAGGTAGAGGGGGGTAAAAAGTTGGTTGGTTGGTAGATGACAAGTTAACATCGAATTCCAGCAGAGGCTGATACTACAGACTACGTAGTTGGCAGTAGGATCATGAACGATTGGATGTTTTGTTGCTATTACTTGACAAATTATTGTGAAATGCTGGAAGTTAAGAGCTAGCCCTAGAATACACACCCCAATCTACCATTCATTGCCGAGATAGATTCAGTTTTACGAATTGCCGAATGGCCTGTAATAAGGAACAAGATCAACTTGACACAAACTATGAGATTTAACAAGGCCCTCTGGCAAACAACACCTACAACTTCCACGTTCATTACTAGGGTACTTAAGGAATTCAACCATGTGAACATACTCATATATTTAGCCCATGTAATTTGTGCTGTATAGTCTGTCCAAAAAGGATGCCGAGTTGAAAACGCAGTTGCATCAGGTGTTACGAACGAGTAACGAACTTTTAAAGTGGTTATGAGGGACAGATAGAAACTTTACATGGTTAGGTCTAATAATTGATGGTCTTGAGTTCTAATCTCGATCGACATGTCAGATGACCTTGATTAAATCATTCTTCTTCACGGATCCTCGGGAAACTTAATTATCAAAAATGTGACGTCATTGGATGGAAGTTTTCGTATTTGAGAATGATTTGAATTCAATAACACATTTCCGGTCACTGATCCCTAACCAACATATTTGGTCGAATTGTGTCCTAAATCCTTATCATTTACATTCAAATCGGTCAACTGGTCACTGTCAAAATGTCTTATCTATGGTCAACGCATTTTCAGTTCTCGCTATCGCCAGAACCATTATGGTAATTATGTGGGCTAAGTCCTTTAATAACTACAATTTGATTAGACACAGTCTGCCGTCTTAACGATTTGTGTCCGCTCTGTTATTGTAAGCACATAATTTTAATTGGAAGCGGCTTTCTGTCTAAATCTGTATGGTCATCGCTTGAAGCTTAGCCAAGATTCTCTTCTTGCTAGTTTGGTTCACAGTAATCTGATTATGTTTGAGACATTTTACTCTAACTTTCTATAGGAACTTAATAGAATTCATGCCATATAGGATTCAAACCACAACAAATTCTGCAGTAATGATTGTATACGAATGTAGTGTATGCTTTTTTAAGATTTTTTCCCCTTATCATTTTTGTTATTGATTGTATACAAACGTAATCCGTGTTTTTATGACATCCTCTCCTTTTCCCACGTTTTCGTTTTTGTATGGCTATTTTTGTCCTGATTTTGATTGTATACGAATGTATGTGTTTAAAGAAATATCTACCTCTTCATCTTTAGCAATGTTGGTCTAGATTCGGATTGTATACGAACGTAATCTGGTTTTTTATGACATCCCCTTTTCCTCTCCTACTTACCTATGTTTGTCAAGATTTGGATTTTGATGTCTGAAATGACCAATCCTTTCAGAGAAGCTCTCATCAATTTAGTATTGTTTGCATCCTCCCCCGCTGAAGCCACCAACACAATGGCCATTATCAAGACGTTTAATGAAATAATAATTAATTTATAGGCGATAATCAGATAGACTGTAGTTTCTTATAATTGTTAATGAATCGTGGTAAAACTTGAGTTTACCACCACGTTATCTGTTTACTATGAGTCAAGCAATCATAGCCATGTGATTGATCGATCGCTAAAGCTGATATTCAATTTGCAAAAATGAATTGAAATGGAGTTTTACGTCTCCACCTCTGCACATGATTGGGCTCATCAAGACGGACAGTCTGCAATAAAGACAATTTTGCCGGGACATTACGGAATACAGACTTTTCGTAGTTGCTTAGCCTTTGCATTTTCAAACCCAATTTACACAAGCTCATTCGATGACATTCGTGAAAAGCATCAGCCATAGAAATCACGGGACTTATATATCCCAAACCGGATATGACATGACATAATACTATTGCTTTCTGGGTGATAAATCGGCTGAAATTCCTCGCCAGGCAGGAAGCTTGACGTCTAATCCTCGTCCCAATTTCCTATCACAAAGCTTGACCTTGGCATTGGTCGAGAAAAATTTATCCGATTCTGCACGTTAATTCATTCATAATCTTATGTCATTTACAAGAAACTGATGTTCCCCAAATCAACCAATGAAATGATCACTTAGAATTTATTTAAACTTTAAACTTATTTAAAAGCATGATTGACTAAAGGAATTGAAATTTTTCAACTTGGCCAAATGAGTCTTTATTCATCAGTTGACTTACCTAATGTAATAACTATATACTAATAATAGTAACTTTGAAATACGCTTAGAAGCTCTTTACTTAGTTTAATAGTTATATCGTGTTATATAGAAATTCTATTCTTTAGTCATGGCAAGTCCAACTGATGAACATATACTCCTATAGGCAAAGTTTGAAGACTTGAAATTTTATGTCCATTCTAAGTGGCAGTATTCCTTTAAACGATATCATACGCAGTTTATCCATCGACCTTATTTCACAAATTCTTTCACATTTGTACAAATAACAACTAGTTGCAACATAACCTCACATCCCTCTTGAATGTGCCATTTTTCAACATCAAAGCCAATAGATGGAAATGGAAATTTGAAAATGACTTGTCATTGTATTTAAGAGTAAATAGATTTGATAACTCGACGTTTTTGTACGTATTATCCCACTTTTGTCCACTCGTAAAGCAATCACCTGTATCAATAATCCGATGTCAAATGACGATAAGAAGGTCAGTGGTACTTAGAACCAAAAACCTTTTTTTTAAATATAAGATTGGATGCTTTAAATGCGCATGTGTACACTCATTTTGAACCCTCTACCTTTAATGGTTTTCCAAATATCCAACCCTCTTCCTTTAATGGTTTCGAAATATTGAACCCTCTTCCTTGTATAGTTTTCAAAATATTGAACCCTCTTCCTTTAATAGTTTTCCAAATATCAAACCCTCTTCCTTCAATAGTTTTCGAAATATTCAACCCTCTTCCTTTAATAGTTTTTCAAAATATCGAACCCTCTTCCTTTAATAGTTTTCGAAATATCGAACCCTCTTCCTTTAGTAGTTTTCGAAATATTGAATCCTCTTCCTTTGATAGTTTTCAAAATATTCAACCCTCTTCCTTCAATAATTTTCGAAATATTCAACCCTCTTCCTTCAATAGTTTTCGAAATATTGAACCCTCTTCCTTTAATAGTTTTCAAAATATCGAACCCTCTTCCTTTAATAGTTTTCAAAATATCGAACCCTCTTCCTTTAATAGTTTTCGAAATAGTGAATCCTCTTCCTTTAATAGTTTTCAAAATATTGAACCTTCTTCCTTTGATAGTTTTCGAAATATTGAACCGTCTTCCTCTAATAGTTTTCAAAATATTCAACCTTCTTCCTTCAATAGTTTTCAAAATATTAAACCCTCTTCCTCTTATAGTTTTCGAAATAGTGAACCCTCTTCCTTTAATAGTTTTCGAAATATTGAACCCTCTTCCTTTTATAGTTTTCGAAATATTGAACCCTCTTCCTTTAATAGCTTTCAAAATATCGAACCCTCTTCCTTGAATAGTTTTCGAAATATTGAACCCTCTTCCTTTAATAGTTTTCAAAATATTGAACCCTCTTCCTTTAATAGTTTTCAAAATATTGAACCCTCTTCCTTTTATAGTTTTCGAAATATTGGGAAACATTGTAAGGGTACTATTTTGTGAAGTACATCCATTCATTGACAAATAATGTAGATATGACCTCTCTGGTAGGTGAGAATATTTTTGCCTTTTACTTGGAAAGTAAATTTCGGGGGAAAAGTCAGTTTAGACCTTATAGATGTAGTTCTACGACGACGAATTGAGCGTTCAGTTCATTAAACTCAATATGGTGTAAAATCTTAAGAAGTAATTTCAATTTATTAAAGCGGTGATGTTTCAATAGTCTGACATTCAAAGCCAATATATCTGTGCGATCGAATCATTCATTCTATTTCATCCACATTATCCTCATGATGATGAGATGAGAACGTTCTTCCGCAATCATGGTTATCCTTATCCGTACGATTATTACATTTGTATTTCCGCAATCACGATCATCCTTATCCGAATGATTATCACATTTTTTGATCTTTGCAATCATCCTGCCCATCAATAGGATCATACCATACCCCAATCATGCCATCATTAAAAAGTCAGTCACCCCATGCATTCTTCTATAACCATGGCGTCCATCAATAGGTTTCTGATGTTATTCAGAGTAAAAGATCGGTAACCCAGAAATCATGATGTATCACAGTCTGCCAAATCATGCCTCACTCCCTAACTGCAATCATGCTGTCCAGTAAATGATCTTAAAATGCCCTTCAACCTAGTATACGCTGCAAGCATGGTATATCCCGGTCAAATCATATCGTACCCAGCAATTATGATGTATCCCAGTCATATCTTAACTTACCCCGCAATTAATATATATCCTAGTCAAATCATGCCGTACCCCGCAATTATGATGTAGCCTAGTCAAACCATGCCGTACCCCGCAATTATGATGTATCCTAGTCAAATCATGCCGTACCCCGCAATTATGATGTAGCCTAGTCAAATCATAACTTACCCCGCAATTATGATATATCCTAGTCAAATCTTGCCGTACTCCGCAATTATGATGTAGCCTAGTCAAATCATACCTTACCCCGCAATTATGATGTATCCTAGTCAAATCATATCGTACCCCGCAATTATGATGTATCCTAGTCAAATCATACCAACTCTGCAATCATGCTGTCCAGTTAATGATCTTAGATGTATTTCAAATCATACCGCTAATCATGCCGTACCGTACCAATCAATCATGATGTATCTTAGTCCAAACTGTACCCTGCAATCATGCTGCCCATCAAGGACCTAAATACAACACTAATCATACAGATTGATTGTTTACCCTGATCCAATTGTTGTTGACAAAGCACAGGAAATATGATTCATATATTAGAACTGTACACAAAGGTATGACAACTGCCAAGGGATTACAATTTAATTCATATTAGATATGTTAACAATGGCATCCTGGGGTAAATTTCATTTGTTTACACCAGAAATGAAATGGATTGGAGTTTTACATCCTACTTAACGACATCGTGAGATTTTCTTATTTGATACATTTTTTACATTGTAAAGTCGGATTCTGTTGTAAAACTGTACATATATTAGACTGAAGGTCGGATTCTGTAAAACTGTAGACTTTTTTCAGATTCTGTTGTAAAACGGTACATTCTTTAGACTGTTATTTAGGTTCTTTGTAAAGTGTTCATACACTAGACTGTTACAGAGATTCGTTGGTACCACTATACATCTTTTAGACTGTAATTCAGATTTTTAAGTTTACACATGTTAGACTCCAAGTCAGATTATATTGTAAAATGTACATATTTAAGACCGCTATTTAGATTCTGTTGTAAAACGGTACATTTTTTAGACTGTTACTTAGTTTCTTTGTAAAAGGTTCATACTAAGATTCGGTTATACCACTGTACATTTTGTTAAATACTTCAGATTACATTGTAAAACGATACATTTTTAGACTGTGTTGTACCACTGTACACATTTGAAACTTCAGGTCTGATTCTGGGGTGCAACGCTCCATTTCTTAGATTATATTGTAAAAGTGCACAAAGTTTAGATTCCATTTCAAGAAACTCTTATTTGATAAGTTAGAATTTATTAGATTAGCAGTGACTGGCACTAATGGCAGTCTGACACCATTGTCATGTGGTTGATCTTAATATCTGATTCGAACTCTATGTTAGACCTGTCACCTATTACATGTTAGATAGAGTTGTTGAAACGGAAGATAGGATGGACACTCGCTCGGGTCAAAATGATACAGTTAACGTATTATTCTTCTTTTCCGGATTGAACTAACGAAGCCGTCGAGCAGTGATCAATGAGGGAAAGTCGCGGCATATTGTGGCTACTCTATGTCAATCCTATTATTTGTCTGATAGAATTTTTGAAACTGAAGATTTGTTGGACACTCGCTTGGGTCAAGATGATACAATTTCATGTCCTTTTCTCCTGCTCTGAAGGAGTCCCAAAGGAGTGATTCATGAGGGAAATTCTGGCAAATCGTCAGCGTTTTCTGGTTATCTTTTGATTTCCATCTGCAAATCCTGTGGAACACTGGACCTCTGATTATTGTCCCATCCGAACAACTAGACGGATTTTCCAAGTCAGTCTCTCCATCTTGATTCACTGACAGAAGAAGATGGTGGAAAAAATCCAAAGTTATCATCTCAACCTATTTTCCGAAGTACCTGGACCTCAGACTAAGCAAGCAAGGTGTCTTACACAGAGCTTATCCGACTCCCATCTCTGTCGATCGAAAACAATCTTCCACGTCGAATGATTATCAAGGTCTAGAACGCTCGACTGTCAGCATCAAATTTGATTGCTTGACCCAAGATCAGATAAGAATTCCAGCGAACGTGTCCATGCAAACGTCATTGTTATCTGATTCCACACAGAAACAGACGAGATTAGAATGATCCAAAACTTTATGTAGAGTTCATGTACATCACATGAAAACAACAGAGATATCCGAACACCCCAGACAAGGAGACGCAGCGCATACACTACAAACTTTTCCGTCCTAACTCTCTCTCTTATACCGACTAATCTGACTATATTTGAATTACTCCCGAGTTGCAACCTCCCGACAGGACAGCAGGCCACCAGAACAACACCACATCAGTGCTGCAACCATGTTGTCTCTTCAGTGTCCTGTCTGCAACTGACTAGATTAAGTTAAATCATGTAACCTTACATCTTACTAAGCATATTGGACACCTGCTGAACTAAATATAGATATGATGAAATACATCAAAGACATCGACAGGATGTTGTTACAACAATGTTATAATAGTGTTGCCGACAAATTTATAGAGACACTATGGGGTTACTTGATTATATCAAGATAACATTTTCAGAATTAAAGATAGACAGGAAACCCCCCGTCGATCGAAAAGAGAATCTAGGTAAATTGATAGATCGTTTTCATGACATTATCTGAACTTAAGGCAACATGGCAACATCTTTCCGGAAATACATCGGAAATGAAAACGTACCTTTGATAATACCAGCTAATACAACGAAGAATTAGATCAGAAAAACGATAACTGTTTCAAATTGTTTATAAAATTCCTTATCACATTATACCATTTAAAGGGACATTCCGCTTTTTTGACTCAAATTTGTCAAAACTACACACCAAAATCTAGAGAAATGTGCCCTTAGCGTATCTGAAAGTTTTAACTAAAGAAATAAAGCCGTTAATTTTTAAACGCCAAAAATATTTAAAAACATTACGTAAGATTTTTAACTTCGTTATGCTTTTTGGAAGCTGTATGGAAACTACTGTACGGATTTGAGTAAAATAAACGCATAATTATAGAGAAATATGTCTTTTACGTATTTCGAAGGTTTCAACTAATAACATCGAGCCAAAATACAAACTTTTTACCAAAAGCGGAATACCCATTTAAATGTTACTGACTTTTTACTAAATGAAGTTTATTTACCGTATTCCACTTAAAGTGGCAGTGTGCACAATTTTCATGAACGTTTTAAGTTATACGTGAGAAGATTTCTAAATTTTGCTATTTAACCTCTATGTATCTACTTGATCAAACACGAATTAAAAAACGGAATGAGCTTATTGAAAAGCAACTTCTTAATAGATTTGCCGTTCTCAAAATTAACTGGTTAAAACTTTCAGACATGGTAAGGGATATATTTTTCTGTAGTTGTCATTAATCCGACGGAAATTCCAAAATTGAACATTGTATACTAGGAAAGGCACTTAACAAAAAAATTAGGAGACAATTTCGTTGAATTGTGCAGTAATCAAAAAACAAATCATGAAATGCAACGTCACTATTCCCAAAATTACAAGTGATTCATAAAAATATTTTCTTTGAGCCTGTAATAATTGAATTAAGAAATCAGAAAAAAGCTTTAAACTTACCAGATGCAACGCAGATTAAAAATAAGAAAAAAACTGCATAACGTAAAACTGTGTGATAGAATCCTTCCATAGTGCTACTAGAATCGAATGGACCATACTCCAGTCCTTTCAGCGACTTTTATCGACCCGAGGCGTGTCGTAGGCTGATTGTCATAGTCGACAATAAATGTATCAAGTACCGCCTTATATAGATCAAAACTATAACATTGTTTCCTTAAAATGAATTAATATTCTATTGCCTTATAGTCCGAATCGCCTTACTGTGAGGATTGTGTTTTTAGTTTTATCAATGCAGACAATGAAGGCGTATAACTTCATTTCAATTCATTTAAATTTTATCAAGAGCTGATAAATAGCAATTTCAATTCATTAACATTCTAGCGTTACCAGTTTTTTTTTTCAGTTCTACATTTCATTAGTCAGAAGATTGGCGCACACTTACTGATTTTTTGACGTATCACGTGCTCACTTCAGCATGGCAGTTTTCACGAACTCACTGTCTTCATCTCCCATTCCCAGACAAACGTAGCGCAAAAAGTATACGTTTTCTGCCCCTC